AGAAAATAAGTTGACTGTTGGTCAACCGTCTAAAGAACCAAGTGTAAAGTTGAATTGATTTTTATTAAAAGGATAAACATATGCACGATCTTAATTGTTGAATTATTATATTTATTCTTGTGCTACAATGGAGTACCACTCAGCGTCAATGCTGAGCGGATAGCGTTGTTTTCTTTTGCTGTCCGTAGGTGATCAGACAGATGAACCTAGAGCCGATCCCAGAGGGCATTGAGGAGGAGATGTACGATGGCGTGGCTGTCTCTTTAATCTGTTGATTATGTTTTATTTGATTAACTTTAATGCTTATTACGTTTTCGGGCAAGATCCCAAGTTGTTTGACTTTAAAAAGGCTTCCGCATTATTTTAAATTACTCCGATGAATTTTTATATGTATTGATAGAACGTTTGTTTAAAATTTGTTTTGAAAATGTCGCAAATTTGGATACCAATTCAGTAGCACACCGGTCCGCTGTCTCACGGGTTTGGGTCATGCGGGTTGGGGTGTTACATACTCCCTGCTGTAACGGGTCAGATTCAAGGCATTACAACATTGTTGTATGTTGAAAATATGTACATGTTTTGGCTTGTTGTATGTTTGTTTGTGTATTAGAAATATTGGATTTGATATCAGTATGAAAAGATACATGTTCATTGAGGTGCTTTAAATCCATAATTTTTAGGAATCAATATCCAAAGAAATGGCACAAAAAACGTGCGTTAACTAAGGAAGAAAGATTCAATCATGCTCACGCACAACTTAGAAATGTCATTGAACGTGCATATGGTGTTCTAAAGGCAAGATTCCCAATCCTGAAGCAAATGGCTCCTTTTTCTTTTCCAATACAAAGAGACATCGTGATTGCTTGTTTCGCCATCCACAATTTTATAAGGAAATGCAATATTTATGACTAGTTATTTATGGAGTATGATGAGAACACGATGTTTCATGAAATGCAAACTGGAGAAAACGATGGCCTGTTAGTTCAAGACATAGAGTGGGATTCACAAGGGATTGAGTTTATGAATTCTTTACGTGGCCAGATTGCTAATCAGTTGCTTTCAAATGATTCAAATTAAAGTTGTATGCAGAGTTGTGTAATTTGTATTTGGATTTCGTATGTTGTGTTATTTTGTTTTTGGATTCTCGTATGTTTCCATGGATTTTAAAGGATTTATGTGTAATTTGGATTTTCTATGACATTTTCTGTTTTCCTTTTTACAACAATCGATTAATCTGTAAACTATTCAGAACTCTGTCCAAACAAATACATTCATTCAGCACATAATAGTTCAGAGGGGTAAAATAGTCATTCTGCACAGTCGTTCAGAGATACAGCCAAATAGCTCTTAATGGTTCAGCACTTATTGGTTCAGAGCCTCTTACCCATTCACACCTCTTACTGGTTCAGCAAAAAATCACACATAATAACATAATCACATAAATCTAATTTTTAGATTTATTTAATTCATTAGATCACAACTGAAAAGATAAAAAATCATAATACCGGGAAATCTAGACTGAAATCCCTGAAGGATTCGGCATTCGCCGTTAGTCGCCTCTGTCCTCTGTGCCAGTCGTCAGTCGTGAACGACAAAGGAAAAAAATCGTGCAATGTGCTTTGCCGATGCAAATATAATGGGAATAGCTGAATAGTTTCAATGGGAATAGCCGAATATGGGAGTATTTTTTAATAATTGGGCTTTCCACAATTAGATATTTTAATTGGGCACTTGGAATGGACTAGGCCACTGGGGGCAATAATTGATTTTGAATGGGGGGGCTTAACATATAAAACTATTAAAAAAATTATAAAAAAAATAATCACTGGGGGCAGCTGCCCCCATAATCCATGAAGTAGATTCGCCCCTGGTATCAGGTACATGCTACATTCTTTGACACCAATATCTATGATCAAAGTCTAATTTACCTCATTTCAATGATTGTTCGATCAGTTCTGAAAGAACCCTCGGGAATGGGGTCCATCTTTTTTTTTTCAAGTCCTTTGGAGGGTGGTTTTTGCCGCATGAATGTCATGTCAACAATGTCAATTTGAGCACATAAGATGTGTAGTGGTTCATAAACTTTTTAA